TAAGATAACAGAAAGAACCGTTATTTTGGCTTTTCAGTCTGTTGCCAAAAGCTACAATTTATAGCTACATACAATGCTGTTTATGTATGTGCTTGAAACCATCTACAGAATTGCCTGCATCTAGGACTAATTATTTAATTAACATTTAATAAGTCTATAGACATTACATTAATATGCGTGTCCATGTCTGGCAGAGAGGGAGTAATGGATACGTGCATGTGGCAGAAGACCTGTGAAATACCTTATCAAAGATAACAGCAGAAAAAGCTACCTCAGGCATGCTGTGAATAAAACAGATGTGAGAGTAGTGGAGAAATTTTATGAATTAATTACCAGTTGAGTTAAGCTTCAAGAAAATCTGAGTCCATTAAGATGTTACGGCAGGCATAATATTAAGCATAGTTTATCCAAACTTTATAACATATGCTTATCTTTCTATTCTCTGACTTTTGCAAGAAATCATGCAAAATAAAGGTAAATCAATTGAAATATGAGCATGTTGAAAAAGAGTGCTTTAGCTGTTATAAATATAGGCTTCTGTTCATTGTTGTACTCTTCAATATTGTTTAGTTTACAGACCTGTGAAGTGACTGGGAAGTATCAGATGACTGATACTTCTTGACTATACCTGTGAAATGCCTTGTTAGCTCTGACTTTTAAATAAGAGTATCTGAATTACTTCTTTTCCTATTGCCATTCTGCCATTTCCTCCGCAATCCTAGAAGATGGCTAAAGTGTGTTATGAAAAGCTACCACCTCTGCTTCGGCAGTGTCTCTGTAGTACTCCCATAAAGAGCAAGCACTGCAACTTAAGGGGCACAAGAGTAGCTCTATTTTGTCTGGTATTTGCTACCTCTCTGGACAGTGCAAGCCCTTGGCAAAGCAAGAAAGGCGCTCCAAGAGCAGGGAAGCCTTGGAAAAGTAGCTCTATAGCTGTTCTGTGAAGAAGATGTATCTTTCTTCTCACATCTGTTGATATACATGGGAAAAATAGGTGTGATATCATGGGAAAACTCTCCACCTAATGTTTGTTCCCAGTTAGGCAGTGGCTACACAGAAGAGTTTGCTTTCTGCCATGCTGACCAATACATCTTTCTGGTTTCCTTGTCCCGCCCTTTCTACTTTTCATTTACACAGCATCTGTTATTTCATAAAAGAATTGTTAATGGGGAAGGCTATGAGAGCAGTAGCTGGGTTTGCAGTCCATAATAGTTTTTTGTTAAATATTTGCTCTCAATTTGAAATTGTTGGACGTTACTGCTGTGCTGAGAGGAGTCTGGATGTTAATGGGCTTCTCAGCAATTTTTCATTCTGTAGTGTTCCCAGAGTTGTTAAAGTTTACTGTATGAAAGCTTTCTAAGTGTAGGATTATTATCACAGGAATCTACAGAGAGGTGCTCTTAAAAAAGCTTTCCATGAACAATAGCTTTAAGAAAAACAGAAATCTGCCTGTACTGCAGGAAGCAATGGAATTTGTCTTCTATTTGCTGTGCTTTCCTGTGGTACCAAAGGTGCTCCTTGGCAAGAGATAAAGAACTAGATGTGAATACTGATGGTGCAGTAAGCATGCTTCAGGGATGAAATGTTTTAATATGAAAGTGGCAGCCCTGTCTTTTAGCTCTAGCAAAGTAAGGACTTAAACCCTAGTGGGATTCCTGCATCTTTACATCTCCTAATGGGCCTCAGACTGTAGAAGAGCTGAGCTGAGGACTTTCTATTTCCAGCAGGATAGAAAAAGAGATCAAACTCTGAGTTTTTCACTGAAGTGATAGAACCCCCCACAAAACAAACAAAAAACAAGTTTTCCCTGATCTTTCACTATATTTTTTATCTATTGTCAGCATCTCTGAAAAAAAGCATTGTGGAATTGGCTTCTTCTCTTCCTACCCCTTTGCCGTTTACAGTTACCAAAAATTGGGGGAGGCTGCTGCCAAGACAAAGAAATCTCCTTACTTGACTTTTCTCAGATTTACACTCAAGAGCCTCAGAATCACTGCAGTATTGCTTATAGGTAAGAGACATACATTAAAGTTAAAATTAATTCAAATGAAGGCCAAGCAGGGATAAATTGATCTATCCAAAGGAGCCCAAGGGCTTTGTGGTGGAAGTGACGCTTCCAAGTCATGGTAACGTCCTGTCTATCAGAGCTTCCTTGCTGCCACCGACAGAAGATAGTACTCTTTCACTCACTTTCTGCAGATATAAATGACAAGGCAAGGCACAAGGCCATGGAAAACAGGCCTGTGAAGAAAGGTTGGTGTGTGTTAAACACTGCAGCACATAACAGCTCTTGTCCCTGAAGTACTGTTTGCAGAAGAAGGCAATGATCAAGCTCATCTCAAAGACAGGAAGCTCTGTGGAAGATATAAGATGCATCGGGCTCACTATTTTTAGTTTATTAAAGCTATCTGTTATGTTTCTTTATTGTCTTCAGCTCTCTATCCTCCTTAGAGATTTGTTACTCTACTCATTGAAATAAAGGACAGCATGCTGTGGTTCCTCTGTCTTCTTTGCCCTTAGCACATAGGCTGAACCTGGTGGTTTATGGCAGATATATAATGCAAAACGGAAGTGAAAGGGTCAAGGTAATGATGAGTCTTGTACCTTCCCAAGAAACTCTTTCCTGATATTCAAGGATAAAGAAAAGTCATCAGTATGGCTTGGGGGTGGGAGATAAGGGAAAGACATGGTCTTGGGAGTGCTGGGAATCCTCGTGTCTGATTTGTTTGAAGATTTTACTTTCTTTTTGCTATGAATCCCAAAAGCTTAATCATTGTATCTTATTACTTTTATAACAGAGTGAAGTTATCATGCAGCAAATGTTTTAAGGTGCATGCTATTTAAAGTCAGGATTATTTCTTTCTGCCTACTTAATTTTGCCTCTTTAATGGAGCCTTAGAAATGTAGTTTCAGAAAACCATATTTATTTACTCAGGTTCCATTTCACTATCAACAGCAAGGTTTTTTCCTCCTCCTTTTATAGAACAAATACATTCAGAACTCAAGCAAGAAGACGTTTAAATATGTATAATATAAACTGGCTGCCCAGTCGTAACCAGAAATTCATCTGCACAAATTTTGTCAGGAGGGAATGGCTCCTGGTGTTCTACCTGTTCCATTCCACAGGCAACGCACATTCTTTTCTCTGCACCTTTGAAGTTTTAGAACTTTGCCAGGGGTGGAACAGGTGAGAGAGCTCTTCTGATGCATAGTCAGCCTTGCATTATGTTCTGGGACATTGTATTCTGGGCAGAGTACTTTTCTGCCCGAATAAGAACACTGATACAATTGTGGAGAGGGTACAGTGAGGAGGAGCTGGCTGGTATGCATACGCTCAAAAGAAGCAGTACAAGGCTACCACCGCAATGGACATGGGCTCCTTCTCCAGGGACCCCAATACATAGGCTTTGGAGAATATCGATCTCCGTACAAGGGCAAGACTTCCTTTGGGGAAGAAGACTTGGGTGTAAACACCAATCCTTACCCTGCTCTACTCCGATAACTTCAGTGTTTTTAGGATCCTCCATTTACCTTGGAGGATCTGGTGGTATTGACTGAGGTACTGAGTTTCCCTGTTCTCCCCAGAGTTGTCTGTCCTTAAACAAACTTTAAAAAGCAAACTAGAAGTATCGTTCCGTGTTAGAGGGTTTTAGATTTGTGACCCTCCCGCAAGCCATTAAAGACAGTAATATGTAAACCAGGCAGATTAACACAGCCTTGTGGAAACAATACTCCTCATCTGTCTCCCCTCATTTGGAGAGTTATTCAGCTTTTGCTGATGAATGTAGACACAATAATAAGAGTAAATTATAAATAGAGGAGAAAAATATGTCCACTATGGGAATTAAAAGGAAACAGGAAAACAGAAGATCAGTGAAATTTACCCAAATAAACTTAATGTGTATTTTCTAACCTGAGTTATGAGGGATTTAAACTTTACGGAGAAGCATCTGTTTTCCTCCATAATCTGAGTAAAACCTGATAATTACTGGCGAAATAAAAAATTCCTATAGCTTTACAAGATGTTTGCTTTTGCACTTTCTAACTCTTCCCTCTTGTAGTCTTCACCCCTGCCAAAAACATAGTGGGGAAAGGGAGGTATGTCTCCTTTAGCGGGAGAGTTGGCTTTAAGAATACCATTCATTAGCTGGGAAAGGCAGATAGTGCCCCATAATGGAAACGTGCTTTGCGGTACTTGAGTTGCCCCATAATGGAAACATGCTTTGCTGCACTTGGATTGCCCCAGCACTACTACTTCATGTGTTTGCAAGTCTTCAGACGAAATATTCTGCACACAGGTTTAATATTAAAATTAGCTGAATTCTGAGCTTGGCGGGCTTTTGGTTTTTTGCCAGAATGGACATGTTAACGCCCATACTCTTATAGTAGAGCTTCTAACCGCCGCCGCTTGCCGCTATGCCCGATCAATGAAACTATGCTTTCCAGGTCCATTATGTCAGTAAATCGAGAGTGAATTAATTTTTCTCCCCCCCTCTCAATCTCTGCTGCCTGAGCGTTGGCCCCTCCCCTCATGCCGGCTCCCCTCTCTTCGCAATGCTTTGGGAAAGAAAGTGCAGGTGCCCCTCCGCTGGCTTTATTTAAATTACCTCCTTTTCTGCCCGGCTGGTGGCCGGGGGAAGCGGAGGAGCGCTGGGCGGATGGCTCCCCTGGCCGGGGAGCGGCTAACGCGGCGGCTCCGTGAGGAGGGCAGGAGGGAGAGAGGGGGAGCAGCATCAGCATCAGCATCACCACCACCGTCTCCCGCCGCAGCCTGCCTTTTTATGCGGGCTGCCCCTTCCCGCCCAGGCGGCGCAGCCTGCCCCGATCGCCTCCATCCCGCCGCATTTGGTATGCATGAGCGCTGCCGTCCCCAGGCGGGAGGAGGCTGCTTTCTCCAGGCGGATCGGCGGTCCCAGCCCAGCCCAGCCCACCCCTCTGCCCTGCGGCACGGCGGGCGGATCGCGCGTGGGATGCCCGCGCCCCGGCGGGCGGTCCCGGCGGTCGGTGCTGACAGGTCGTCGTCGTCGGCGGCTCTCCCCGCGGAGGGGTCATGAATCAGACCGACGCTCCCCGGCCGCTCAACTGGACCATCCGGAAGCTGTGCCATGCCGCCTTCCTCCCCTCCGTCAGGCTTCTCAAGGTAGGGACGGACGGCCGCCGGCGGGAACCCCTCACGCATCCCCCCCGCGGGGCTTGCGGGCGCTCTCGCTGGAAAGTTCATTCAGAAATGGTCCCAACTTCGCCGTTAATTAGCCGCCCTGACGCTAATCCAGCGGTGCCCCGAAGACGCCAAAATTGGGTGTCCGTACTCCCCGGGGGGACGTTTTTCTGCCGAGGAGGGGCTGTCAGAGGGGTAAAAAGGGAGTAGGATGGTGGATATCCTCCGTGCTTCTCTTTGCTTCGTCTTAGAGAAATTAAGGCGTGAACTTCTAGGGATGAAGAAGGAGTCTTGCTTCTAAGGTGTGTTCCTTTGTGAACAGCCCTCTGCTATCTCTTCTTTGGGAAACCCTTAGGTTCCCAAAAGGTCCACTACCCGAAGGTCCACCACTACTCAGAACAACTTGTAAGTCAAACAGCATGAGAGTAGACAAAAAATTATCTCGGTTTGTTGAAAGCTCTGCATAGGAGCAAGAGTCTGTTAAAGGCTGGCAGTGCAGGCAGCATCAGTGAAACTTTCTGATGGTGATTTATTTATTTATTTTGTTTAAACCAAGTGGCACAGTTTTGCAGGTGCTTTTAAAGGTGCTTTAAATGTGCTTTTCTAGGAGGTAATTATTAATTATGTGAAAAAAGTATTTGTGATTATAGACAGTGGACAGCTTTTAACCTCAGCACGCAAAGTACCCCTACTACTGTGTGTTCCACTGAAGCTGTTCTAGAGGCATGTGTAATTGGAAAACAAAATATCTTGAATCAGCTTTTTTGACCAAAAAAACCCTCAACATTACATGAAAGTGAAAAATCTCCTTTGTTCTTGGAACTTCTTAATTGGATTATACAATGAAAACTTAAACAGTATAGTCAGGTCCCTTTAGCCTTCTGCACCTGAAATGTGCTTTATAAAATGTTGGATTAATGGCACTAATTAACTCGGTTCATCTTAGTACTTGATAGTCTGGCTTTGAAATTAATAAGCAGCCAGGTAAAACATAGCTACTCTAATACTGTTAGGAGGTAATGTTTGATATAACCATTTGATGTTGTGTGGTAGCTTTGAAATTAGGTCAGTCCTTACTAATGCAACGTGTCTGAACAGCAGTGTGCTGTATGATAGTGCACTTAGCAGACTTACTGCACGTATAGCTATTGTATATGTGATACATAAGGGACCATACTGTGTAGCATAACAGGTATTTGTTACATCCTGACAGGAAGGAGCTACCCTTGAAATATATTTTTGTTTCCAAACCAGATGCATGGCTGCTGGGAGATACATTGTGAACAGAAGAAAGATAAAACTTAGATTGCTGAAAAAATCAAAATATAACTAATAAAGAACAAATCAGAAAAGTGGTTTGGATTCTCTTGCCAAGGCTTCGCCCCTCATCCCCCCACTGCAGAAGCACACATTTCAATATCCATAGTCTACAAGTCAGATACATTTAGGAAAACATTATTTTCCTGAGGTGTGAGAATACAGATGTGGGGAATTTTATTATCATTCTCAATATCAAGAAAGGAAAAGAAAGAAAAAAAAAATGTAGTCTGCAATATTCCTTTTTTGGCAGATGAATGTTGCCCCCTGTGTATGGTTTCTCTTCATTGCACGTTTTAAGGGTGAATGTTGGAATTAATTATTAAAAGAGCTGACTAGAAATGATTTTCTCAAGCTACAGCTGTAGCCTTTTAAGGCCAGATAGTGAGTGGACCCTGCGGTGTTAACAAGAGCAGGACAAATAACTAGAGACAAGCAACCTCTGCACGGAGGGGTGTGTGAGGTGTGTGAGAGACCCCAGCAAAGGAGGTGGGACTCTGGCGCCTTCCTGAGCTGATGGGCAGAACTGGTTGATTGGAGAGGGAAATGCATGTATCAGCATCTTCGAGGCTCCCAATCATCTTAAAATTTTGCTTCCAATACATGCTTCTTATGTTTGTCTTTTATTATTTAACATGTTCAAAGCAAATGAGTCACATAAGAGCCAGGGCCCCATTGTCCTAATTCCCCAAGAGACCCAATAGCCACCCTGAAGGAATTGTCCTGTCATGAAGAGCTATTAAGGAAAGAATGTGGTAACAGCAGCGTTAAATTACCAGATGAGTAGTATAAATATTCTCCTGCTTTTTCTCAGGGATTTTGAAAAATTTTATGTATACAAATTCATTCATCAGAAAGGTGTCTGTATTGTTTTCTCTTTTGTGTCTTTCTCCAAAAAAAAAAAAAAAAAAAAAAAGAAAAAAACCTTACAAACACAGACAAATGATATGAATTTAATCAGAAGTAACCCAAAAGGCTTCCACGCTTTGTTGTGTCTTCTTGGCAGAAACTTTGGCCAAACTGGTATTGGTAGAATGAAGATCGATTTCAATTTGTGAATCTGCCAGACAATAAAATTTCCTCGAGCAATTCCGTGATGTTGATGATGCCCCTTCCCTCGCTGCTACGGTTTTTGGTGGTTTGGTTTTTTGTTTTGGGTTTTTTTTTTTTTTTTTTTTTGTTTTTTTTTTTGTTTTTTTTTTTTGTTGTTGGTTGGACTCGATGATCTCTGAGGTCCCTTCCAACCACTACGATTCTGTGATTCTGTGATTCATATACTTTAAGGCCATTGATGCCTAACTCTGTGCATGGTACACTGGGATCCCTGATCTACTAGTCTGGGGTGGTATAAAAACAAACAGATTAAATGATACTTACCTGCAATTAAAGTTTTTTGCTTCTCACAAAACTGTAGCTCAAAATATTTTATAAAACAGCTGGAAAAATCACTCAAGGGTGTCTTAGCATGCCCAAAGGCCTCCAAGATACAGTTCACCTGCAAGACAATGGTGAAGAAATAACAAGAGAGAAAGAAACAGGAGGATATTTCAATAAACATCAGTGAGGTTTGTTTGTGATCAATAATGGGAAGGGAAAGAAAAAAAAAGATTACTTTTTTTCAGCTTGTAATTTAACAAATTCCTTCAAGGTGGTGGGGGGTTTTTTTGGTGGTTTGTTTTTTTTTTTTTTTTTTTTTGTTTTTTCCCAAAAAAAAAAAAAAAAAAAAAAGAAGAAAGCCTTACACACACACACACCACCAAATGAGAGGTGCTCCTGTAAATCCACAAACATTGGGAAGGTGAGTGCAGTAATTTAAGTTTGCTTTTTAATTGCCCAGTTTCCAATGGATGAAGTGGCTTTAAGGTCTAATGGAGTACTGTTTCTCAGTGGACCCTTTTTATACAGCCTTTCTCTGCAGAGAATGCCCTCAATAACAGAATAAACTTCGCAAAAGCTGATATGTAATGGCGCATTTTATTATTATCTGCTTTATCTATGGTTGCCAAACTCTATTTCAATATACACTGTAAATTTATTAAGAGTAAGAGAATATAGAATATTGCCATTTCCATGCTTTATTTTAGTCTACTGGAACAAAACAACTAAATGACATCATTAAATTCAATGATACATCTTTGCCTGAGCTTGTAAGAATAGAGATAGCAGAGAAAATCCTGTTTTATACACACAAAAGATGGCATGACCTGGACCTTGGTAATAAACAGCACAAACTTTTCAATTCATACCATGTCTTCTCAATGAGAAGTTTGAAGTCCTTATCCTGCAGATGTAATTTTAAGGAAAGCATCAGTCCTTTCACACTGATGGATCTAAATAAACAGTGGAATCTAGGACTTGCATGGAGGCCTCTCACTTTGTATTGCTCACTAACAAATATGTAGGATTGTCTTGAAATGACTGGTTTTAAATAAATAATAAAGGGTGTTATTCGACAGGTAGGCTATGCTCTTATTCTGTTGTGTTGAAATGGTGTGCAGTGCTCAATTGCCTGAACTGACATTTGATACAGCTGTGGCCACAGTGGCCTCATTTGATTTAGATAAACCAGGATCATTTGCAGACGCTGTTCCACTTTGCTCCCTGTGCTTTTCTTCCAGGCATATGCTCCTGTTCTAACCCACTTCTACTAATCCCCTCTTGTTTAGGTATGGTTTTATAATCCTGTTTTCTCAGTTTTTCGTTTTCTAACAGGCACACAGACTACTAGGAGATGTATTTGAAGTACATATTGAAACAAATTATTGGAGAACACTCTTACAACTTGTGTCATCAGCTCATCCTTCGCTGCTCCCATTTTTATCCCTAATAAATATTTCCTGTAGCACATTCTATGCTGGTACTTTTTGTAGTTGTTTCAATACGCTTAAGCACACACTAACGCACCATCTAATGCCTTCCCATCTGAAGTAAGAGGATTAACAACTGCCTTGAGCACATGTGCAGAGAGGGCAGGTTTGTGCAGAGAGGAGAACTGTCATTCTCCCCAGGGTGGTCAGGTTAGTTTCTAGAGGTGGCTTTCCAGCTGTGACTTGTTCAGCTTCTGTTACTCTACCTGACTTCTGAAGATTGTTTCTTTGCATGTTTGGCCAGGGTCCTGTCACCTTAATACTTTATTATTTCTTTTAAGGAAGGGTTAATATTAGTGGCAAGCAGTCCTGATCCACTTTGTGCTATTGTATATGTAAGAGCTATTGTTCCAGTTGCAGAAAGATCTGCTAGTTACATTTCTGTTTGTTTTATGGTGGAAGAGAGTTTCCAACACTCCACAGGTCAAAAGAAGAGATTGCCTCCCGAGAAAGGAAGCCAAGTCCAAATGGCAGGATTTAGGGAGAGCAGAAATTTTAGAACAACATTGTATGCTCTAAAAAAATTAATGAATTACATCATACTAAAGACTTCACTCAGAGGACCCTGTGCACTCTGAGAGCCTGCAGATGTTGCACTTCTGCTTGGGACAGATATGATACAGATATGACACATGAGCAATACACTAAAAAAACCCAACCAACCTGAAATGAAAATAGACAGAGGACTGAAAAATAAAGTCTGTAGTGCACAATAAGCTTAACAGCACAGATTTAGAGATGTGCATGCATAGAAGTATTGTACTAAAAATTTGGAAAGCATCAAATTATACAGCCTGT